CATTGTGTTCTCAAGACAGATCAAAGCATTTCAGCGCGCGCGCTCGCTCAACGGGTATCACGCGCAATGAGAACTTTTGCGCGCGCACTATAGTGAATGTTGATTGCGTTGCTGTTTTGACCGGTAGCGCAGGTATCGGACTATCGTTCCATCGCCTGTTCTTCTAAGAGACCCTGTGCCCCTTCCCGTAACGCTTTCAATTGAAACCTTTCCTCCGAGAGCCAAAACCCGAGTGTCGCTGATCGCCGTAGGGTTGTTGAGTGTTGGGAGTGGGCCTCGTGTTTTTATTTGTTGGACGCTTTGTACCTTAGCTCTTATGTATTTATGTTCACACATAGACATAATCACATACACACATAGACCTAGACTACTAGACTTCAACATACTAGACTACTAGACTGCTAAACTAGACACATACTGACAATATCATCTCATGTGAGCTTCAACAAAATTTGCACCGCACCACACGTTTGGAATGATTTCGACCCGTTCTGAGCGCACTCCCATCCACCAAAATCGCCATTTCAGCTGAGACCTGTCACGAAAACAGCGCTTCGATGCCACACCCTGTAACGCAAATCCCAATGGCACGGCCACATCCAACACCCCAAAAACACGGCTCTCCAAACGCTAATCCCAATGGAACTGCGCAGCAATCTGCCGATCTCACAAAACGCTGCGCCTGTGCAGCGAAACGCATCACGTTTCTCGCGCGACATGTCCTGGTCCTGCAAATCACAATGGAATAGCGGCGCAAACTGACACGTGACACGTCCATGCAAAGTCACTTGCAAAAGCTTCCCCCAATGGCAGCGAATTTGAGACGCGACGACGACGACACGACGACGAGAGACGACGACAGACGACGACAGACGACGAGAGACGACGACAAACGACGACACGACGCAAGCCATGCAAACATAGCTCCAACCCCCAGACCCCCAACTATAAACGGGAACCCTTCGCTACACATTCGGGAAAAACATAAAATTTCATGCGACCCTGCTCTGATCTAATCCTTCTCTGATCTAGGTAGTTGAATTTTTCTGTTGATAATTTTTGTTTTTCTTCAGGGAAAACTTTGCACAATTGAAGAGCCCTCAAAGCAAATTCATTATTGAGGATCACGGGCCTTCCTGGTCTACTACCTTGAAAATTTGTTTAGGAGCAATCGTTACATAAAAAGGCATGATTAGGGAATTGATGGCTTCGGGAAGCTGTGAGTTTTGAAGAAGAACTTGAGAAACCTATACTTATCAAAATCTCAGCAAGCCAACCATTGGTTTAGTAGTATTAAAAATTTCTATCTTTACTTTTCTTCGGTGAAAAACGTTGCACAATTGAGGACCCTTAAAGCAAATTCATTATTCAGGATCACGTGCCTTCCTGGTCTACTATCTTGAAAATGTGTTTAGGAGCGCCGAGGCACAATCGCACGCATTCTTACATGCAGGAGGCGGAACTGTAATTTGAATGAAAAATACCATCCATGTGTCCACCCAACCACTCTGTCCTCAGCCGCAGCTTCACTTCTCCTGCGACATGTCAAGGCTTGGCTTGCTTGAGCCCCACAGGCAGAAACCACTCCAAAACCCTGCCTTCACGCCGCAGCAAGGCCACCACTCTGCTGCTGCTGCTGCTACAGAGTTTTGCCATCGAGGTCCCTGGTTCCGCGTCCCTTACTTAGCCACCCGACGATTTGTACGCAACATGTTATTTTTTCTATTGCTACTGTTGATCGATCTTCTGTCTCCTGCACCATTTCCGCCATGGACGTGGCGGCGCCGCGCACGTTTGGCGTCGGAACTGTGCAGCAGTACTCCGCGTAAGCCGCCAAGCGGTCTCCAACAAAGGACACAGGCGCCCTCCTCTACCTCCACATGCGCCACCGCTTCCAGCGCCTCGACCGCCGCCTCTGTCTGGCGGACAAAGTTCACGAGGAGGTCATTGCCCGACAGAAGCAAAATGTCTCCGTCGTAGTCGCCACCGCCAGTGCCGTGATGCCCTTTCCACGGACAGAGCAGATCACGACATTGTCTGGCAAGGGCATCAAGTCCTGGCACAGACCACAGTTTTGAAGAAGAACTATAGAAACCTATACTTATCAATATTCTCAGCAAGCCAACCATTGGCTGAGTAGTATTAAGAATTACTATGCCTATTTTTCTAATGGAAATATAATCAACCCTACATATTTTTCAGATAGTAAAAAATTAGGACACCCAAAAATTTAGCATAATAGAGGACCCTTAAAGCAAACAGGGGGTACATAATTTTTTCAATTATTTGGCATTATAGAGGGCCCTATTGCTATTCAGCATCTAACATTAGCAATGGCCCCCACCCTGGCCTCCACCCTAGCATAGCAATGGCCTCTAGAATTCGCGCCAAATTCCGCCAGCTCTGGCCCATCAATTCCGGACAGCCTTGGGAATGTCCCTGATGCGCAAGGATTCTCGGCCATAAGAAACACAACTTGGGCTTGGCCATTGGCCGCGATTGGAATGTTAAAAATTTTCCATTGACGCCCCCCATCCCACAACCTTGTAATTAGGCCTCATACCACCATTGCCTAGATGATCTGCCAGTTGTCCAACACATGGCCAGGAACACCTCTGCGTTGCCGTTCACTGGCGTGGCACAGTGAATCCCATAGCCACTAGCACATTTCTGAGAGGCCGAAAACGTTCCTCATCGTCACAGTGCCTGCGCTATTTTAATCTTGCGCATCTAGGCTTGTAGAAAGTCTAGGGAGCTACCAGGAGCAAAAGGTGCATTGTACCAGTAGTTATCACTAGTAAAGTGCCTTGCTACTAGTAGCAATTATACTAGCTACGTGATTTTTTCAGCTCGTCGCCCGCCCAGACCTCGGCACGCTGGCGCGTCGCCAATTTTTTCAGAACCTGTGGCGGCGTCGGCGTTCAACGCGCGAACCATTGCTGGCGCCCTGAACATGATCACTACTCCCTGCGGCGCCAACATATTTTACATGCCAATTTTTAAGAAAGCCAGCTGAACATAGCAAGAAGCTACTAGTAGAGGAAAGTTTGACAGCCTCGGCGGAAGTTTTCCAACATAACTGTTTTTGCATCTTGTTTGCAGCGAGATTGAGTGTGAGAGTGCGAGTGTGAGTGAGAGTGAGCCAGAGTGAGTCTGAATGTGAAAGAGTGTGAATTGCACTTCGAGGTTCACAAAGCGCTGCTCGCGCCGCGAAATTTGCGCTTCGAGGTTCGCAAAGCGTGCGCCTGCTGCGAAATCTACACTGTGAGGTTTAAAGCGCAATGCCTGCCACGAAACAGGCCTTTTTGAGCCACATGCCCAAAAGCCACGATTGGCTGGACCTGTCACGAAATCAGAGCGCCTCGAAGACCACCACCATGTCCAAAGCGCTCCGCCTGCCACGAAATCTGCCTTTCGAAGTAAAGCCGCTCCGATCCCTTGCGCCTGTCACAAAAATTCGACTTTGCACTGCAGAAAACACCGATTCTGCGACCCTGCGCAGTCGAAATGCATTTGAGGATTTCGAGAGGCGTGAGTGTACTGTAAATAGCAGCGAACTAGCCACGCACCTCTGCGCGCAACACGTCGAATTGCACACCGGCGCTCAACTACTACCGTAAGAACCCCTGTAGTGTGTCCACGCTGTTTGGGGAAAAGATTTTCAAGATAGGAAACAATCTCCAAAATAAGACGCTCTCCTGTTTCCAACATGTTATACTATTTTATGTTCTCTGCATCTGGTGTTTTCCACCATGACTGATCTAGACCATTTCCCATCTGTACCACCACTTAGCCGCTGTGGCTATAGCCATGGCAAATGTCCACCTTTTTTTGGCTGAGCATGTTTAGCCAGGACAGCTTCAAAGGCAACGATCTAAGCCCATCATAAAACCAATTCTGGGATTGATTTTTGAATTCATGGCCTCTGCAGCTGCATCTCAGGCGCACTCACCACAGTAACGCAAACCCCGAAAGGTTGCACGCAAAAGACGCAGTGACTATGGAAAACAATGAGTCAGGCTGGCGCAACAAAAAAGAATGAGTGACCCAACGTGCTGGTCCTGGTTCACAATTGATTGTTTTGTTTTGCGCCAGCCATGCCACTTGAAATGTACGTAGCCCGCGTTCGATTGTCGGTTTGTTACTGTTGTTGATGAGTCTTGCCGTGCCTTGATGCGAGAAGAGTAGCAACCTCACCGCACCACAAATGGCTAATCATATGTGACGCCGAGATTCAGGCAAGGCTGATCTGATGATAAAGCAGACCCTGCGAGCCAAAAAACAACAAGACACAAGCGATTTTCCGGAGTCCTGCAGCCCAAAATTATGATGGGCGATGCTATGAAGGAAAAAAGGGAACGTCTCCACAAGTTGCATGAAAGTTGAAAGGTTCCACCAGAATGAACAGTAGTGAGCTCCTGCCAACGCGCAGCTGGCCAGTGTCGTGGGTCTCCACGGAGCTCAACCGCTTCAGCGTCGCAGCCTGCGCAGAGCCCAAAGTCGATCAAGCCAAACTGCAAGTCGCTACCATCCACCGCCTTGGCTGCAGGACAAAAAGTTGCTGCCATGCACACACTGCCAATGAAAAAACAACGTAAACGTAACTTCGTGTGATCCTCAGCGTGACATTTCAATGCAATGCCATGATTGGGGGCATGTTGCCGTGCGTTTTGTGTCCTCGGGTTTGGGGCTGTTGTCTTAGCGTTGGGGACTTCGCGCCAGGGTTTACAGTTGGCGTCCAAAAGTGCGACCCTGTGACCCCGCCATGCAAAATGCCACAAGCTAAAGCAAGTAATTGTATTGCTGTGCTTTTTGCGGTTGCGTTTGTGGTTCGGTTTGTGGTTGGGTTTGCGTTGGTGGCAGTGTTTGTGGTTCATGTGGCTATGTTTGTGGCAGTGTCTGTGTTTGCGTTGGTTTTCTTACTACATCTTGCAAATAGCAGTCCTTCTACTTGCTTCAAGGCCACACAAACACTGCCAACAGGTTTGAGCGCCCGCCGCCTCTCCCTTTTCCCTTATCTTCTGCATGATTTTGATGTAGATGCCAGCCTCAGCAGTTGGCCAACCTATGAAGGCAGAACAAAGCGTGTTTTCAGTTGCATTCTCACGCCACTTTGGGCTTCCGCGCCTTCTTATCTGACAGCTGATCTGCGACGCTTTTGGCTTCTGCCAGTGCTTCATCGGAAAATCCGTCCTGGACCAAATTGAGCGCGTGGAAAAGCAATCCCGAAAGGCGAGATGGAAAGCTTGCATCTACAAATGGTGACGGCCTGCCTCTTGAACAGTTTGCTTTATGCTTATCAGAACCTAATAGCAATGGCCTGCAACCTAGTAGCAATGGCCTCCATTCTAGTAGCGATGGCCTCCAAGCCAGTAGAAATGGTCTCCAACCTAGTAGCGATGGCCTCCAACCTAGTAGCGATGGCCTCCAAGCCAGT